ACACACACACACACACACACACACACACACACACACATATATATATATATATATATATATATATATATATATCACGAGCGTATAATGACAAATTATTTGTCATTGTAACAACGTATTTGTCATTATACGCTCCTGATATATATGTATATGCTGTCCTACTATTTCTGGGGGCGGATAATTTCCACAATATAATTTATTAACATTCTAACGTTAAACGTATATAATATAATATATTAATATGGTACAATAATATTCTATTGTTAGTGTGTGATGTAACTCTAAACTACTATCGGTGGCAGCACCATCTTTGAGTAACTACAACCCACTGCGTTCAGTCCCCTTCACATAATTAATCAGGAAGACGTTGCCAGGGAGAACGCTCGCCGCAGGGGAAAAAAGCCACCAGGGAGCCGCCAGGAAGACGTTAGAGAGATGCCACAAGGAGGAGGATAAACGTGTAACCGCCGTCATCAGATATATCGTGTGGATATATAGCATCAGATACGTATCACTAAAACATTTCATAAAGCTTACGTTTTGGTACATATGCATACGTTACATATCGATTTACTGCCGGAGATAATTCTATCGTCGTAAGACCATTTTTACTGTTTCAAAGTCCATAGAAAAACGAATGGAAACTCGCACACTCATGGAGCAACAATAGAATATATACTAGGACGTCAATTAATTTCATCTAGATACATGTAGATGTTATGTAGAGTATGTCTTTAGGGGCAAGTTTATACAGAAAATTTTATGAATATGATATAGCCTCGTCACTGGAATTCGATTTCGACAAGATGTTCCATCAGTACTTTGATCGTAACTGTAGGTCAAACGTACATACTTTTTCTCCCCGCGCCACATTAACGCTTTTATGGCAAAATAAATAAACGATAAAAACAAAATAAAATAAGCAATATCCAAGACAACGACAGGCTATAACCGTACTGACAGTCGGGACAGAGGGAAGTAGATTTCGCGAGTTTTCCTTATACGAAAAGGAATGTTTAATCTACAAATTTTATATAACGTAAAACAATTTAGGTTCTTATAGACTTTATAAAATTAGACAATAATTGAGCTTAGGTAATTTAACATGCCTGGCATTTACTATATGTGTGCCACCTATAATCCCGTTCGTGGACTTTTGGTAATAACAATAGCGCCTGCTTTGAAGCTATCGGACGCAACCTCGGAGATGGCACGGAAGGAAGGCATGATATGGCTTCCTAGAGTTGAAGAGTGGAACGGGATCGGCAACCATGATTACAAGCAGATATAATAAATAATTAATCGCGTGAATGAAAGAGTCAGTTCTACGAGGCCCTGCAACGATGTTCTACCAGCTCTGCAGAAAGCGATAACGTTAACGATGATAGTGTAAAGTTCAATGAATATAGCCGACACACATAAGCACATTAAACAGCAAACATGCACACACGCGTACACACACACTCTCTCACACACAATTAGAGAACAAAAACAACAAAAAACGCACACACATACGTACACGTACGTAAATACGCTTGCACCCGCGCACACAAATACGCACTCACATACTCATTGACGTACAACCGCGCGCCCGCCTGCATGCCAAACTGCGCGTAGGCCTGCCTATACGTCTGCACGGACGGATTTACTTATACACGTGCGCGCCTATGTAGGTACGCCCCCGCACACAAGCACGCATTTAACTAAACTGTCCCAGTGTAGACACATGCTATCGCGCACCACGCCAAGTTAGTAATTTTATTAACTATGGGCAATAACTAAACTTGTTTTGCAAAACCAAGCCCTTACATCGATACAGACCTGTAGTCGTCGAAGGGTTTGCGGCTGTCGCGTTCATCCCACGGGAGTTCATCTACGAACTTGCCACTGAGCATCGGCACAAGATTGACAAACGTGTTGTCTTCCACCTTGTTGTAGCCTTTCATCTCAAACGCTCCCATTTCGTTCTCGAGAAATCGCAACGTTCGCGGCATCTGACGATGGAACGCAAGTCTGGACACAGAATCGATGCCGAGTAGTATCACATTGACGCGTTCATTGCTATTAGCGGAAGCGCTGTTCAAAGCACACCTGCGTTCTACATCCGGTTTTACTTGTATAAACGAGTGGAAGTTTTCATATTTGAGTCTGTCGTAGATGTCAAAGCACTGCACGTTAATGAAATCATCACGGATAACGGCCTTGTCCGCCAGCTGCACCGTGTTCCCCTTATATACAATGTCTTCATTTTCTTGATATTCTTCACGGAAGATGGCGCTGAAGTTGCAGCGCATAAATCGAGCGCCGCGCACCTCGGCTGATGTATTGAAGTGTAGTACATTGCCGTCGCTGTACGTCATCCTTGGAAGGGGGGACTCGCAGGTAATTTTCTTTGCCCGCTGCGTCAGGAAAGGATGAAGACTCTTGTCAAACGGATCCACGTCTATGATGGTACAACCGGGAGTATTTACTAAGTAGCCGATTGAGTCGGATTCGGATTCGAACAATTCCCTCTCCACGTAAGCCGGCGTCTCTGTCTGCTCATCAATAAACAGCAATATATTATTATTATTATTATTATTATTATTGTTATTATTATCAAATTATTATATATAATAACATAACATATATTTGTTAACTATTATGCATCATATACATGGAGAAAGAGAAAGAGAAAGAGAAAGAGAAGAGAGAAAGAGAAAGAGAGAGAGAGAGAGAGAGAGAGAGAGAGAGAGAGAGAGAGAGAGAGAGAGAGAGAGAGAGAGAGAGAGAGAGAGAGAGAGAGAGAGAGAGAGAGAGAGAGAGAGAGAGAGAGAGAGAGAGAGAGAGAGAGAGAGAGACGAGAGACGAGTGTGTGTATATATCT